GCAACTTATCAAACAGTAAACCGATCTGTTTGTAGGACTCCCAAAAATTCTTCCTTATTTTTGCCTGAATCCAGACATTTTGCTGATTCTGCCTTGCCCAGTTGCAAAGGAATTTGTTTCTAACAATCAGACCCTTCCAAATGGATTTATAGAAAATCACTGGGCTGCTTGTACAATTTTTAATGTCATTATAGCACAGATAGTTGCGCGGTGGCCTGGAGGTGGCGGTCTCGCCTCACAATCAGGAGGCTGTCAGTTCGATCCTCTGGGCACGAGGAAAACATACCTGCTGGAAAAAAACAACCTCCATATTGGTGACAGGAAGGGCATCCGGCCAGTAAACTCTCAGCTCCGTTCAGTTGCTCAGAATCCACCCCACAAGAGATTATGGGGTCATTAAAAGAGGATGGTCCTCGACTTACAACTTACAGCAGTTCATTCAGTGACCATTCAAAACCACAACAGCCCTGAAAAAACGGTGACCCAGGACCGTTTTCCACAGTTACGACCTTTGCATCATATCCCATGATCATTCTGATCAAAATTCAAAGGCTTGGCAACTGGTTCATACTTATGACCGTTGCTGTATCCCAAGGTCATGTTATATCTCCTTTTGCAACCTTTTGACAAGCAAAGTCAATGGGGAAGCCAGATTCACTTAACAACCATGTTACTAACTTATCAACTGCGGTGATTCACTTAACAACGGTGGCAAGAAAGGTTGTAAAATGGGGTACAAATGTTTCCCTTAACAACAGAAATGTTGGGCTCACTCATGGTCATAAACTGAGGACTACCCATAATGATTTCCCGCCATGCCTTAGAAGTTGTAATGTGGGGTAGATACTGGCTAATTCTACTCGTTGCTTCTGGCCTCGTTTAGAAAGTGATCAGCCTAGCTCAAAATTATTCCCTTCTTACAAAGCAAAATCTATATCAAATGTTTTATAGATGGTAATTTACCACTTGCAAGGTTAGCTAAAATGTTTAAAAATAGGTCTAGCAAATGTTGGAAATGTAACCAAAAGATTGGGCACATTTTATCATATGTGGTGGACTGGTGCTAAAATAAAAAAAAATTCTGGGCAGGAATGCATAGATGGCTAGAAAAGATGACAGGGAAACATGTAGATTTTAAACCTGAGTTGTTGTTTTTTTAACTAGGGATGATATCAGAAAAACTCAATAAGAGAAGTACGAATTTAGTATTACATGTTTTAACAGCAGCGAGGACTATCTTTGTACAATATTGGAAAGATGAAGAAACACCTCAAGATGAGGAGATAATTAAGAAGATATTAGACGGTGCAGAAATGAGACAGAAAATATTCTGTGTCTTCTTTCTGTGTAATTTTCAATGTAAGTCTTACATTGAATTAAATTAAACGGAAAGAAGACACAGAATATTTTTAAACTTGGAATTTATTTTACCAATGGTTGGAAAAAACGGGATAGAGAGTAAGAATGGCATTTTTATTGCTAAGCAAATTTAATACCCAAACCACACGATGTTTATTAAGCACTAAGAAAAATAACTAATACCCTGTTTCCCCAAAAATACAACCTACCCTGAAAGTAAGTCCTAGCTTGATTTTTACACATACACCCAATATCTGTCCTACTCCCCCCAAAATAAGCCCTAATTAAGATCGTGCCCACTCCAGAGGACACGGGTAAAAATTAAGCTAGGGTGGGGCTAGGAGGGTAGAGCTGCCCTACTACTTGCAGGGTCTTATTTTGGGGGAAACACAGTAGAAAATTAATAAAATTGATTAAAAACTATTATTCCCTCTTTTGGGTTATTCGTTGCTCAACCGGCAAAGCATGTACAATTGCAGAATATGCCACAGGCCGCCTCCAGGTTATCATATTTTGTTCCACCATGAAAGAATACAATCGGGGAGTAAGATTTTTAACGTAAGCATCGAACAACTGTCTCTGGAAAGATCAAGCTTAATCCTTCCTAAGCTGGGAGAAAGAAGAGCTTTCGGGCTGCTGACCTCTTTGATTCCATTCGCTTTGTACCAAGTTATTTTTAATTGACGATAAGAATAGTTGGTCTCAGGAGGCGTCGGTGGCGTGTCGCGCCCCCCTTTGGCCCTGGGGTTGTTTTTCTTGTGGGTTTCATCGCTTTGTATTCTCCATCTTTCAACAGGGGGCGTTTTGGTCAAGTGCACAAGTGTACAGAAAAATCCACGGGACTCTGTCTGGCCGCCAAGATCATCAAAGTGAAATTAGCAAAAGAAAGGGTAAGGAGAGCCTCTTAAAATATATATATATATATAAATAAAAAGAAAACAAGCAAAAGACCGGGATTAAAAGAGACCTCTTATTTCAGTCAGTGTCCGGGTGGATTTGATTTAAATCTAGTCAATTTCAATCATGATTTCAATCATGATTTTAATCACGAGTTAAAAAAGGTTTGATTTAAATCGAGGTGGATTAAATCATAATTTTTAAAGAGCAAACTGTCACCTACCGGTTTGACTGAACCAGGCCGAATCGGTAGAATCCCACCCCTGAGCACAGATCTCTACTTTCTTGCTACGGGTATTGCTAATAATCTATTTCACTACTCACATTTCAGGAAGAAGTGAAGAATGAGATAAATATAATGAACCAGTTAAGCCACGTGAACCTAATTCAACTTTATGATGCTTTTGAGAGCAAGAACAACCTCACCTTAATCATGGAATAGTGAGTTGAACGATTTTTGAGATCTTTCAGGGTCTGGGATTCATAAACCATTTTGGTGGAAGTAGCTGGGAAGATAGAACGTTTCCTAACAAGAGTGTTTAGATTAAAATAAGTATTATGATTTTTAAAGGGAATTTAAAAAAAATGAACTAACAGACCCATTCAACTCAGGTGAGTTCAAAATACGGATCTTGGGACCTTCATCAAGAAAGAAAAAGAATGAAAATGACTTATCGCACGGCAGGGAATTATGGAAAAGTAGCCTGAGCATATTTGGAAGGTTTAACACAGACAGTTCTTGATTGATGACCACAACTGAGCCCCAAATTTCTGTTGCAAAGCGGGACATTTGTTAATTGAGTTTCCCCCCCATTTTATGACCTTTCTTGCTAGTTGATAGGTGAGTCACTGCAGTTGTTCAATTAATAACCCCGTTGTTCAGTGAATCTGGCTTCCCCATTAACGTTGCTGGTCAGAAGGTTGCAAAAAGGGAGGGTGTGACTCCGGGATCTCTGCAACCGTTATAAGTACATGCCAGTTGCCAAGCATCCGATTTTCATCATGTGGCCATGGGGATGCTGCAATGGTCATAAGTGTGAAAAAAACGATCATATGTCACTTTTTTCAGTGCTGTTGTAACACTGGCCACTAACTATATGGTTGTTAAGTGGAGGACTACTCTAAAGGGGTAACAGTGTTTGATAGGCAGGCTCTCCAACTCATCCTCCAGCCTTCTGAATATCTGCAGAAGGCAACCTGATGATATCACTGAAAAGGAAGTAACCAAAAATATTTTGGCCAGTTCTGGACCTTGGGAAGAGTAATTAACACCCCAATTCTTTTCCTTTAAAAAGATAAAGGATGATGTCTGAAAACGTCTCCGTGGTCATGTGGCTGGCATGACTAAACACTGAAGGCACACAGAGGAATGCTGTTCCCTTCCCACCAAAGGGGTTCCTATTTTTCTACTTGCGCTTTTACATGCTTTCAAACTGCTAGGTTGGCAGAAGCTGGGACAAGTCACGGGAGCTCACTCCATTAGGCGGTGCATTACGCGGGATTCGAACTGCCGAACGGGCGACCTTTCTGATCGACAAGCACAGCGTCTTAGCCACTGAGCCACTGCTTCCTTTTCCTTCCAAGCAACACAAAAGCAGGCAGGCCAAAATCACACTGCTGAAATCCATTGATTTTGCCACCAAAGCAATAGTGCAATTGCAGGAAACTCTAGATGTGGTATTGTGTGGGCTGAATATAACCTCGGAAGGGTACCCTGATGACTCCTGCTCCACACTCAGCAATCTTAACTTGATCTCAACCTCCCCTGTTAAAATTTAGCCTCGGAGATGTTTGTTGATTAGTGAACTTTAAGATATCGATTTATTTAGATAATTGAGGTGGCCTTCTGTCTCACGAAAGGGACTCTGAGCAGCAAACAACAGCCAGAACATGAAACTCATAGTGCCTGAGGTTTTAACAATACACCTCAGTCACAAAAAGAAAACACATCAATAGTAGCAAACCCCATCTGACCTCCTGGCTCAAATGCCTGTGGAAAACAGCCAGATCTTACTGTCCTGTGAAAGGGTTGAGAGGGTTGTGGGCCATCAGGTGTGATCTTGAGAACATGGGCCAAGGAATGAGCCTTGCTGAACTCAAAGGACCTTCTTTCTGGGTTGAGCTGTGAAAACTCTCAGTTGCTAAACCCCTCACATTCTTGCAGGACCTGATCGCTAAATTTGGGACATGGCATTCTCTGGTGTAAATTAGCTGCACTGAGAAGCTGGTTTCTTCTGGTCAAGGGAAATGCATTCAAACAAAAGCTAGAATGACCATAAAGAGATAGACTGGATTGGACCACCTTAAATATGGCTTGCTTTGACAGCTCTGTGATGGGTGTCCATTGTGTTTGGATGGATGTCCTCCTTCTATTGCAATTAAAAATCAGAAGTCAGTGCCTATGTATGACATGGGGGGAGGGGTTGCCACTTCCAAGGAAAGGGGGCATATGTAGTTGTCCACCTCCATGACAACTGTCCTTGTTCAACGCTGCCTTTTCTTGTTCCACAAGTGTCGATGGTGGAGAGTTGTTTGACCGGATTATAGATGAAAACTACAATCTTACTGAGTTGGATGCTATCTTGTTTACCAAACAAATATGTGAAGGCATCTACTACCTGCATCAACAGTACATCCTTCATCTTGATCTGAAGGCAAGTTTGGAACCTACTACCGGTATGCATGAATTCTGGAAAAGGATTCTAAAGATTAAGCTTTAAGTTTGTCCTCTGTCTTCTTTTGTAGCCTGAAAACATCCTCTGTGTGAGCCACAGTGGAAACCAGATTAAAATAATTGATTTTGGACTCGCAAGGCGGTAAGTGTCTCCTCCTCTTTACGCTTTGTTTTCTTTATTCCTTCGGCATCTCCCCTTGTACGCTACAAATATTTTGTGTTCTCGTCTGGAAGTTCACTAAAATGCCACCCATTGCCATGGTGACCGAGCTTTCACTCAAAAGCCCTTCTTGCTAGAATGTGACAGTGATCACACTATCTTTGCGCCTCGATGCCTCTATCGCTACAAACTCATTGTCTATCTTTGTCTCTCTACGCTCACCAGCCATCTGTCTCCCTTTGTCATCTTTGCTCAAGGTACAAGCCTTGTGAGAAGCTGAAAGTCAATTTTGGCACGCCCGAATTTTTGGCTCCCGAAGTTGTCAACTATGATTTTGTGTCCTTCCCGACAGACATGTGGAGCGTAGGCATCATAGCGTACATGCTGTGAGTAAACCCTGTTTTTTTTTTTCAAAGGAAGGGAAGGGGGGCATTCTCAACAACTGCTCAGTAGGGAAGACCAGGGTAGTGTTGTGGCCCGCCAGCGGCCAGCAGAACTGGCAGCAGATTCAGACAGTGAGGAGGTTGGGGAGGAACATGGGCCAGTCCTGGAATCTGGGGAAGGCTCTGACGAGGGCTCTGCGTCAGAGGCAGAGATGGGGCCAGGGCCATCTGACAGTTATCAGCTGCCTTTGGAGTTGGAGATCAGTGGGGCAGAAGAACAGCTGGAGCCTGTTCCCAGTGTGCACATGCACAGAGCTGCCAGAAGAAGGGAATAGCTAAGGAACAGGGGTCGACTTGGGAGTAAAGCAACAGGTGGACGATGAATGGCCCCTCCCATAGGGAATAAAAGAGGAGCGAAAGGGGAGTGGGGTTTTGCAGGAGACAGTTAGTTCATTTGAAGATCTGTTCCTGCGTTCTTCTCTAGTATTGTCTGCTACAGTGTGGCGTCTGACAGATATCAGCCTGGCACCTCTCCAAGTCTAATAAAGGTCTATAATTGGGAAATATCTTGAATGACTGTTGGCTGGGACTTTGCTGTAGAGGAATTCACTGTAAATTAAATAAAAGGAGTTTTCGGGGTGAGGCGTCTGCTTCGTGCTGTTGGGGAAGCCTAGGTCAGAGCAGGTAGAACATTTGAGGGGGCCAGAATGGCAGAAGATGGCTAGATCTTTCAGGTAGTTGTTCTTTTGGTTCCCTTTATGAGATAGAGCAGTTGGGAGAAGGCTGAATGAATATAAGCCACATCAAGGGAACATCTCTTGGTGTTTAAGGCTGGGAAGAATTTAACCTGTCTTCATGATTGCTTAAACTTGGCCTATGCCTAGAGGCTGCCCCTACATGAATTTCCATTTATTGCAGCACCTGTGGCTAGGTTTTGCGTAGAGTATTTAAGATCCACCAGATCACGATGGACCAAGTTTGTAGAAGAGCAGACAAAGCTGGGGAGGGGCTGCGTTAAGCAAGTCATCAGCCTAGAATCATTACGCTCCCACAAACGGTGTAAGTCCAACTCCTCCTGAATTCTGTGGACGCCAATACAGCGTGGAACGTCCAATTCTACTTATTTGGGGGGGTGGGGGGAGTGCGACTCGTAGCAAATCATAGTTCTTGTTTCAGTCAACATGTATGTTTTTATTTAGGATTACAGCTGTACAGATTGTTCCTTGTCTCAACAGTGGCAGCACTTGGCTTATCTTGTCTGGCCTTGAAAGCTGGCAAACATCCCTATCTTTGACCAAAAAAAATAAATGGCCCGATTGAGACTATGTAAACATCAAGCGATGACCTCATCCCAAAGACATCATCACCTGAAGACGTTTCCTTGCATTTTGGCCCCTTTCCCCCCATGCAGTTGGAGCTCTGTCCTCCAAACTGTGGATTATCAGCTGCAACCCCTCAAGCATCTCCAAGCAACGTCTCTTTTCTCTTTTAGGGTCAGTGGCTTGTCGCCTTTCCTTGGAGAGACGGACGCAGAGACCATGAATTACATAATCAACTGCAACTGGGATTTTGATGCAGAAGCTTTTGAACAAGTGTCTGAGGAGGCCAAAGACTTTGTTTCCAGACTTCTAATAAAGGAAAAAAGGTGTTAACTTGCTATGGTGTCTTATCCCAGCTCTCCTCCCAGGCCTGTCTCTCCCCCTACCCACATATCCACCCTTGTTATTTAATGCAGGGGTCGCCAACCTTTCGGACCTCAGGGACCACCAAACTCATACTTTTAAATCCCGCGGGCCACTAATATGAATTTTGACTGACGGTGGCTTGCTGACATTTTCCCAGGGTCTCTGCAGAAGGCAGCAGAGACCCTGGGAAAAATCCCCCCCAAAAGTCTGCAGGAAAATTCCCCACCCCGTCTTCATACCGATCGATCATTTCTTTATTTATTTGAGATCGCAGGATAGGGTCTCCAGCTCCATTCTTGGGAGGGGGAGAGAGAGAGAGAGAGAAAGAGAAAGAGAGAGAGACTTTTGGCTTCGTGCAAGGAAAGCAGCAGAAGCCTTTCTTTCCCTCCCCTAAACTCCGCTAGAAATGAGTCTTTGTGAGATATGTTGCGCCAACCTCTTGGAGCAGGAGGCCTTGCAGGGTCCCAAAGACTCATTTCTGGTGGAGTTTGGGGGAAGAGAAAGAAAGATTTTTGCTGCTTTCCTTGTGTGCAGAAGAAGCAGCCTGATGGCCAGGCGAGGCATGTGGGGCGAGTGGGCCAAGTTCCTCCCCCGCCCTTCCCCTCCTTCTCCTCACTACTTCATGTTGTTCGCAATGCAAGCCTTGTGTTCCCGCGGGCCATGTTGGAGTTGCAGCCTTGTGTTCGTGTTGTGCAGCCTGGATTAATTGCTTTGGGGGATGTCTTAGGGGTGACATTTCTCTGCAGACCGCCAAAATTTTCTCGTGGACCACCAGTGGTCCCCGGCCTACTGGTTGGCAACCACCGATTTAATGGATTGAGTTGCCCGCACCCAATCCATCGTGCTTATTCTATCAATCATGGCTTAAGATGTACAGATCAGACTAAGGTGTGCATGTACAGGAAGTCGTCTGCTTAGGATCACAGCTGAGCCCAACATATTTGTTGCTAAACAAGACAGTTGTTAACTGAGTTTTGCCCCATTCTACAACATTTCTTAGCACAGTTACTAAGTGCATTTGCAATTGTTAAGTTAGTATCATGGTTGTTAAGCGAACTTGGCTTTCCTGTTGACTTTGCTTGTCAGAAGGTTGGAAAAGGTGACCCTACAACAATACAACCGTCATAAATACATGTCAGTTGCCGAGCATCTGAATGTCAATCCCATGGCCACAGGGATATGGCAATTTTTGTGTGAGAAACAGCCACAAGTCAAACTTTTTTTCACTGCCATTATAACCTTGGTCACTAAATGAAATGTTGTTAAGTCGAGGAACTACCTGTAGGTCTAACAGCATGTCCTGCATTGCAACCTGTCCCTTCACACATTCTTTTTTCTCTCCTTTCTCTGGTCCTGATATCCCAGTGGCAGAATAAGCGCAGCCAACTGCTTGAAACACGAGTGGCTGACCAATCTGTCCACCAAGGCGAAGAGATCGAAAGTTCGCTTGAAGTCTCAGATGCTTCTACAGAAATACATGGCCCAGAAGAAGTGGAAGGTAAATGCCCACACCGCTCCTCTTCGTTTTCTGAGCTCCATGTTGCTGTGGTGGCCTGTCGGCCCCTCCAGCAGGCAGAGGAGGAGGAGGAGGAGGTGTGGGAGTCAGGTAATCTGGGAGCTCCAAGGTGGAAGAGGGAAAGGAGCTGTCAGAGAGAGAGAGATGGAGGCAGACCCTGGGCCATCTGTCAACCCTCAGATGGAGAGTCATTAGCCCCCAAGTCTGGAAGTGGTTGATGAGGAAGAGGAGGAATAGCTGGGTCCAGTGCCTGACAGGCAGATGCACAGAAGGCAGAGGAGAGGAGAGCAGTGGAAATCTATGAGCCGGTCCTTGGGACTGAAGAGTCACCACTGCTAGCGAAGCCCCACCCTAGCTCTGGGGATAAAAGGCAGGGGGTGGCAAACAACTATTCATCTCCCTGCCGGACAGACTTGTTAGCCGGCGATGAGAGAAAATTTTTGCTGGGGCTGCTGGCGCTCCTAATAAAGGAATCATTGCTTCAACTACAGAGGGATTGTCGTGTTTGGGGAGCTGGGTCAGAACAGTTTTGTTTACTACGGATGACAATATTTTTGTGGGATTCAATCCAAGCCGGTCACCAGAAGCTTGGAAAAAACAAACTTTTGGTCCCGGTGACCGACTCAGATTGGATCCTGCAACATTATCCATGGACACGTATGTTTACCTTCATTGGTGACAATATTTCTGTACAGGAGAAGCCAGATCTGAACACAATTATGCCTCTTTTTCTCTTAATTACATCAATACGTTGTATATCCAAGCTTTTTATCTGCTACTGTAGCAAGCTTGTTTTAAGCAACGGATAAGTTTGATCTAGCAGAAGATACATACTGAATATGATTGTCCCAAAAATGCTTTTTCAAGAGGCAACTGGACTTTCTGGTTTTTCTTTGAAGATGTTTTGCTTCTCATCCAAGAAGCTTCTTCAGCTCTCCATTCCCCCATCATCCAGTCGGAGCTGAAGAAGCTTCTTGGATGAGAAGCAAAATGTCTTCAAAGAAAAACCAGAAAGTCCAGTTGCCTCCTGAAAACAGCACCTTTGGGACAACCATGACCTGAAGAACTGAGAGTCTCCATAGATACTGAACATGATGAGTAGACAACTGGTATAAAGTCTTAGGTAATATTATGTAAAAACAAAGCCATATGGGCAGAGATCTCAAAAATCTGTATGATTGTTGTGGTTAGCCGGCAGCAGGTGCGGACGGCTGAGGAGAGCGAGGACTCAGATGAGGGGCCAGGACCATTAGGGATGGACTGCTGCCTTCAGAGATTGTGGGGGCTGGCAGCAGCAATGAGGAGGTTCCCGAGGAGCCTGTGCCAAGTGCACATGCGCGCAGGATTGCTCGTAGGAAAGAGCAGCTCCAACAGCATGGGCGACTCGGGAGTAAGGCCGCAAGGTAATGGCCCCTCCTTCAAGAAGATAAAAGCCAGCTGTGAAATGAACATTCTTTGCAGAAGGCAAAGACGTTTTGAAACTCCTGCCTCGTGGACATTCCAGTATCCTGAGTTTGATTCTTATTTTGCAAATTATTTCTTGTCTGTGATCTTTTGGCAAGTCTCGCACAGTCTGGCAAGGCTTGTGTTTATCACAGCTAATTATTTTGTAAAAGCATTACAAGGTTTCTGTTCCTTTTGGGTTGTGTTTGATTTGTTGGAAAAGGGCGTGGGTCAGAACAATGATGAAATCTGTTCTGGTGAAGGTACAATCCAACCCTGGAGGAATCTTGCAAGAGTCTTGGTTTTCCAACATGTTTTTTTGTTTCTTTTACAGAAGCACTTCCATGTGGTCACAGCTGCCAACAGATTGAGAAGATTCCCTAACCTTGCTGAGTCTCCAACTGCTGAAGAAAACTGAGATTGGGTGATATTTTTTTAGGGACCCATCCATTTCCACCAGTTTCACGTTTTCTTTCCTCCTCTTCCTCAATTGTTACAGCCAGTCGTCTGCTTTTACGAGCCTTCGAGCCTAAGAAGACACCTTGGGACTTCCCTACACCAGAGAGGTCTGACTGAATGGGTTGTCTTACAACCTATTGCTTGCAAGAGGAAGAAAACAGTTTGAATGATACCTCTTAGACTTTCATTTCCGTAATTGCACATTTTAATGGTTAGGAATGGCTTTTTCTGCTGGGGACCGGCTGTCTTATTTTTAAGGAGGTTAGGGTTTCGAGAATGTCAAGCCATGGTTGGAAGGTTGAACTTCTTCAAGCAGAAAATGTAGCTTCTGCAGAGATTGTGGTAGTTATTTTCTGAATTCAGTATTTTTGCTTTTAAAGTAGAACTTTGGGTAGTGATCAATAGCTTTAAGAACACTTGCCAAGACATTGTATTGTGATTAGAGTCCCTCTTTGGAGGGAGTTGAGCTGGGCAGAAATGTGAAAAGTAAATAAAATTAGTTACCTTTTATACACTCACTTATGGCTTCTCTTTTGCTTAACTTTCCTAAACTTTTTTTTCTCTTAAACGATGATCTGTATAATTATTTGCCACTGTTTTGGACATCAAGATATCAACTTGGGGTTTGGTGGGAAATGGGAGATAAAAATTAAAAACGACTTAATTTGCTGACAATGTAAGTGGAGGAAAGATTAAGAACAGAATTTAAAACTGTTAAAATCCTCAGTCACAGAAATATTCCTTGGAGCTGAATTTCTGAATTGATTCAAACATTCAAGTCAGATCCTTGCAACTTGATTTGGAAATGCTTGGATCCAGCTGGACAATTTAAGGCGCACTGGGATACTGGCAGCATCTTTTGTCTTAAATTCAGTTTGAGGTCCTGCTGCCATGGCCATTTTTCTTTCACCATCTCAATCCATGTTTCTCAACCGTGGCCGTTTTAAGATGTGGACTTCAACTCCCAGCATCCCCCAGCCAGTCCTACTTAAATGATTAACCAATTCGTTGCTCTGCTCATTTATGATTAGGGTATCATTACGGAGGTGACAAAGCTATAATTCAGAAGCTGATATCTGGATTTATAGAATGAAACCACAAAACAGAAGACTATAGCACAAATAAAAGTTTATTGAGGCTGCCAGAGAGGAATTAACACAAGTCATCGTTAAAAAAAATTAAATAATCAAAGCTGAGAGGGACCAATCTTAAAAAGAGTTAATGGGACATTTATTCTGTATGATTTTGTGATTCCCACTAGTTACACACGGGAAGATAAAAGCCAGGCATCTTGCATTATATTCTTAATCCATGCCTCTTATAGAAGAGTTATTTTACTGCTGCATTAAGTGTGTGCTATAACTGACATGGAACTATCTCGCTGCCCAAAATCAGAGCCAAATCATGAAATTATCTGAACTAGTTGTATCAACGCAAAAAACAAAACTCACATTTTGCTGAAGTATCAATGAGCTGAACTCATTTAAAAGCAGGTCTATCTAGGCTTCATGGCGGCCTGTTCAAGGAATTCAAGTTTTAGTCAGAGGTTTATTTTTCTCCCAATAGACTAGTTCTCCAGCCTGTCAATGGCCAACTGACTAGACTGACATTTGCATTCACTGGAGAAACAACTCCACTCACACACTGTTCCTTTGTGATTTTGCAGCATTTTCTAAGATTCTTTGTTTCCATTCTTCATAATCTTCTTTAGGCTCAATTTCACTTCTTGGATGCTTGCGAGGGACTTTTGCTTCCAGAACTAATGAGGAAAAAAATAAGATATATTTGTCTGTGCACAAACACACAATTCGAAGAATCAGTTTTCTTAGGTCATCAGAATTAGTGAAGCCCTCTTGCTTGTTAAGAAATCGCTTGTGGAACCTCTAGCTGGCATTTAAATATGCGTTTTGGAATAGATTCAGATGAACAACTTGGGCATTCAGCCAGCTTGGTTGTTATGAGACTTCTGCAATTCTGGAGTTTGGTTTATAGAATTCCAAACCAGGATGGAATGCCGTGTTTGGGCTATAAAAGCTGTGAATTATTTGAGGGCAGTAGGATAAGGATGTTTCCTAGCTGAGGAACCTGCCCATAAATAGGTCTATCTTACCTTCTTCCTTTGCAAGATCTTCAAGGAAGGATTTTTGAGGTTCTTCAAACTTCAATGAATCACCTTCTCCTTGAAAAGAAGAATAAACTATTGTCAAGTTTGGGCAACATTTGAATGCACAATGGCTACATTCAGTTGAATAAGCCACAAGAAATAAACTGAACGAAGAAACTGGTTGTACTTTGTAGGAAACAGGACAACCCAAGTCCAGAAAGTTGTCAACTTAAGGTGGTGAGCCTACCTAATAATAGGTACCACCTATTTTCCTCACAGTGATCTTATGAGGTGGGATGACAAAGAGGGACTGGCCCAAAGTCACTTATCCAGGTATTTGCTCTTTCTGTCTACAACTGAAACTAGCCATAAATAGTTGATTCAAACTCTGGAGGAACAGCTTTGAGTCAAACAAACTGTTGAGTTCTCGCATGTTCAAACAAGGTTTGCTAGTAAGCTACCATTGAATTTGGTCACACTTCTAATAAGCCATGGCTTTACAAACTGCAGTAGCTATGTTTGCCCCATACCCCCCCCCCCCCATGAAAAGCTTCCTAGCTTAGGTTGATATTTTTAGCTTGATACAGGTCATCCTTGATGTACAATCACTTGTTTAGTGACCAATTGGAGTCGCTACAGCCCTGAAAAAAGTGGCTTAGGACTGTTTTTCACACTGACGGCCATTGCAGCATCTCTGTAGCCACATGAACCAAATTCTGATGCTTGGCAACTGACTCATATTTATGACCGTTGCTGTATCCCAAGGTCATATCCCCTTATGGGACCTCCTGACAAGCAAAGTCAATGGGGAAGCCAGATTCACTTAACAATCAATGTTACTAATTTAACAACTGCAGTGATTCATTTAACAACAGTGGCAAGAAAGGTTGTACAATGGGGTACAAATGTTTCCCTTAACAACAGAAATCATGGGCTCAATTATGGTCATAAACTGAGGACTACCCATACTGATTTCCCCCCATGCCTTAGAAGTTGTAACGTGGGTAGAGACTGGCTAATTCTACTCGTTGGCTTTGGTCTCGTTTAGAAAGTGATTGGCCTAGCTCAAAATTATTCCCTTCTTACAAAGCAAAATCTATTTCAAATGTTTTATAGATGCCATTTACCACTTGCGAGGTTAGCTAAAAATGTTTAAAAATAGGTCTAGCAAATGTTGGAAATGTAACCAAAAGATTGGGCACATTTTATCATATGTGGTGGACTTGTGCTAAAACAAAAAATATCCGGGCAGAAATACATAGATGGCTAGAAAAGATAACAGGGAAACATGTAGATTTTAAACCTGAACTGTTTTTTTACTAGAGATGATATCAGAAAAATTCGATAAGAGAAGTATGAATTTAGCATTACATGTTTTAGCAGCGAGGACTATCTTTGTACAATATTGGAAAGATGAAGAAACACCTCAAGATGAGGAGATAATTAAGAGTGGCAAGAAAGCTCATAAAAACAGGGACAAAGCTCGCTTAACAACAGTCTCAGTGAGCAACAGACATTTTGGGCTCAATTTGGATCACAGGGCGGGGACCAGCTGTATTCAGGCACTTCACCTTTAGTTTTCCAATAAAAGGCTTACAAAAAATGTGGAGGTGATTTTTTTTTAAAAAAAAAAAAAACAAGTTGCAAGAAGCGAAAACAAGACAAAAAAAGCATAAAGAAAATCATACGGTTGATTTGTTGGCTAATCTTCTCTAACTGGGTGTGGAGCCGGTCAAATATGGTTTTCTTCACCCCTGATACGGTCACCATTTTGGTTTTATCCACTTTAAGTTTCAAGGATCTGCAATAAGAAAGATTGGATTCGTGAAAAGACCTTCTTTGCCCAACGATTTAAACTTACACCGTAAACAGTTGCTGCTGCTATCAAATCTCTCAATTAGAAAATCCCAGTTTGAATTTACATCCCACCAGCATCTCATCACTAAAACAAGCAAACATTAAAAAAAAAACGGTTAGAGATGCTTCTTGTGAAAAGCATGTCTGTTATACATTTTTAAAAGATTTAAGGTATTTTTTAACCGTTGGTTTTTTTTTTTTTGCATTGTTCTATGAATGTTCTACTTTTTTTCTCAAGAGTCTGCTTTTTCGACAAACAAGAGCAGACCATGAATTGACAATCCTTATAAAGTAGTTTAAAACTAAATACAATACACAGAAAGTATTTTAAAACCAAACCACATGTTCAAAACATACCTGACCCCTTCCATTGCCTCCCTAACTATTCCTGGGATGTGATATTTGGGGGAAGGGCTCCTCCCTGTGGAAAGACCTCAGCAGGACCAAACATCTTAGGAGTGCTACAGCAACACTACAATTCCCATCAATCATGTTAATCGACTCTTTGGCTGGACAAGAGAGCCAAAATCCTATAATCTGGACTGTTTCAAACCTACCGTCTTCAAGACATTTTCAGTGGACTATTTGAACATTACAGAGTACCACTAACTCAATTCCACGGTTCTCATGTATTTTGCTTCTAAATTAATTACAGTGATTAAAAAAAGGTTTTAGAGTGTGCAGAAATAAATAGGCTTTCAATGGAAATGAAGGAGAGAGAAGAAACAGAGCACTACGAAATTTGGCATTGTTATGGTATAATTAGCTGCAAGGTAGACACAAAATAGAGAGATGAAATGAAAAGTTACGGTGTGATGAAATAATTTGGTATGAATAGGCCTAACTATGCATACTTATGTATAAATATGTAAATAAGTACATAAATATGTGAAAATATAACATAAATCAAATGTAAAATAATTGTAATAATATTTAGTAATATTCTATATACTTAAGAATATGTCAGTGAGTGAACACTACTACAAATATGCTGCAATGAGTGGAAATACGTTTTTATTGTTTTTTAATTGTAGAATTTGTTTAATAAAGTTTTTTAAATATTAAAAAATAGGCTAGTTATCTTTCAGCAATGGCATCAAAATCAGAGACCATGAGAAGTATCCTCTTAACTGGTATGTGTGAAGTGCTGGGGAAATCAGGACGTTCAGGCAGTTCAAATGAGTATAAAGATTTTAGGGCGAGCTGAAGCTGCCTACAAGAATCTGGACAACTAGCAGTCGAGGGAAATAAGCAGGAGATAAGAAAGGCATTCAAGGTGGGCTGGACTTAGAACTCTTGTGGGTGCGCAGGGACTCGTGACTTATGACACGTTTGACCCCTCCCTCGGGTTTCAGCCTGGTCATTTCCTACAGTATATTTTTTTTAGAAGAAAATTGATTCATGGCAACAATAGTCTTATCAGGTTCCATAATTTGTCCTTGATCTTCATCACAATCTGTTCATTCCCTCTCTGTGGAACACACCGTAAATCAAGAATCTGGAATATAAACAATTTTCTTCCAACTGCAAATGTCAACCCTTCCCACC